GATCTGGTGCCCTGTGCTCAGGTGTGCAGAGCCCCAGAGCTGCCCTGAGATCTGGTGCCCTGTGCTCAGGTGTGCAGAGCCCCAGAGCTGCCCTGGGGAATGGGCCTGGCCTCTGGCTCCTGGCCCAGGAGGGGGTGGGTGTTGCCCAGGATCCTGCAGCACATCAGTCAGCCCCAGTGGGGCTCTCCAAAGCTCAGGGCAGCTGCAGTGGCCCTGGGTGCATCTCTTTCTGCAACTGAGGCAGGCCTGGAGCTCTGCTGGCTGCAGTCACAGTGGGGACACCAGCATACCTGCCTGGGGCTGCCTCACTCTGCACCTCCAGCAGAACCTGTGTTTTAGTGCAGCCCCCAAACAGGCTGGTCCTGGCTGAGCACTGAGACCCAGCAGGATGATGAACATCAGCTCCTGATCTGAGAAGTCCAGTCCCAAGCTGGCACCTCTCAAAGTGACACAGCTTGTAAGAGCTGTTGGCACCCTGGCCCACTCTGTTCATGCCCATTCACAGGAGAACTGGTGTCAGATGCTGACACTTGTGTGAATGTTACAGCATCCTCTGATTGCATTTGCACACCCCATGTCCTGCAAGGATGCTCTGGGCACTGGGACTTTACTGGTGGCTGTAGAAATTTCAGTGGGAAGCAACTTGTGCTTTATGGAAGGCATGACCATGCAATCCAGCACTGCAGCAATAAACTTTTATTGTAAGCTCTTGCAAACTACATGATGTGGCACACATTGATCTTTGACAACCACTGAATACATTTCCCCAAATCAGTTTGTCATAAATCTGCAGAAAAGCTTCAGAAGCAGAGCAGAGAATGAAGGTGTCCAAGGAGGGCAGCAGAGGAACTGAGCTTTGGCTGCTCAAAACTTTCTCTCTGACTGATGCCAAAGCCTGTCTGATACAACAGCTGCTGCTCTCAAGGTGCAGTCTCAAAAGCAAGGAAACAAAAGCACATCCCAGGATCACAGAATCACTGAATTGTTGTGTTTTGGAGGGATTTCTCAAGATCTTCTAGTGCAGGCTCCAGGCTCCAGCAGGATCAGCTAGGGCAGGTTGTCCAGAACCATGCATTGTTGAGGTGTGGGTATCTCCAGACATGGAGATCTCCAGAAAAGATCTCTGAGCACCTGAGGGGCCCTGGTCCCACAGCCTTGCTAAGGAGGTGAGGGACAAGTCAGCTGCACACTCTCGGGACAGCTGAGGAGGAGAGGACTCGCTCCTGAGAGCTCTCTCCTGAGAGGGGCAGCAAAGCAAAGCAGCTGGAGGCTCTGCCCACAGCTCTGTGCCTTTGAGCAGAGCAGGAGGGGCCCTGAGGGACAGGGCTGGAAACTCACCAGAGAAGGAAGCAGCACCGACGCTGCACAGGACATTTGTCCCCCTCTGCTGTGCTCTGCTGAGACCCCACCTGCCGGGCTGCCTCCAGCTCTGGGGCCTGCAGCACAAGGGGGATACAAAGCTGTTGGTGTGGAGCTCAGTGGAGGCCATGAAGGTGCTCCAAGGGCTGGGGTGGGTCTGCTGTGGAGAGAGGGTGAGAGAGCTGGGGATGTTCAGCCTGGAGAAGACCCCTGAGAGTCCAGGACCGAAAGGATCTCGATGAGGGCTGGAGAGGGTCTCTGGACAAGGGTATGGACTGCAGGACAAGAGGGAATGGTTTCACACTGATGGAGGGCAGGGTTAGATGGGATATTATCAAGAAGTAAATTACCCTGAGCAGGCTGTGGTACAAGTAAAAGTTGCCCAGAGCTGTTTTGAGTGTCCCATCCCTGGAAGTGTTCAAAGCCAGGCTGGGGAGGGCTTGGATCACCCTGGTGTAGCGGAAGGTGTCCTTTACCATGGCAGGCAGGTCAGAATGAGATGATTTCTAAGGTTTTAAGGTCCCATCAGAACCAACCCATTCTGTGATTCTGTGATTCTAAGACATGTGGGAAAAGCCACCAAGGTTCTTCTAAGGACGTGGCTTTTGTTCCCGGGGACAGGCATTGTTGAACAGGGTAACTGTTTTCCCATAGAGATCAGTCAACCTCTTCTCCAGCTCCCCCAGGCTGATGACCTCCACCCTGTTCTTGTTGTTCTCAGCAATGGCCCCCCAAGCATCTTTGGGCTGTTTGTTTTCCCCCAGACAGCAGGCAGCAGACCAGATGTGGCTGGGTCTATTAACCCTATCTCCAGAGATCTTGTCACTCCCAGGCACAGCACCCGTGACAACGTAGGTGCTTTTACAGTCCTTGGTCTTCGTCTGCATCTTTTGATGCTCGTAGATTCTCCACTTGCCATTGTTGAGGCTGGTGTCCTGGGGCACTATGTTGGTGAGGGTGAAGGTTGCCATCTTGTTCTCTTTACTGTTCATATGGCCACAGGGGCACAAATGGCCACGGTCCAAACCCTTCAGTCCTTTGTAGTCGTCAGGAACAGCCTGGCTCTCTTTGATTTGTTCTAAGGTGATCCCGTGTTTCTCTATGAGGGTCTTGTCCCTTTCCATCTCTTTAAGCTTTATATTTTTATCTATGAGCTGGACAGGGAAAGAGAAAGAGGTATTAGAATAGGGAATGGGAGTAATTGAGAAGATTTCCCTGGAGCAGAAGTCTCTGATAGTCAAGAACCCATTTTTTTGTCATCTCAGTGTAGGAAAAGGTATGGATTTGAGAGAAATCATACACATGTCCCTCCTGCATGAATGCAAGAGCTTTAATGAGCAAGCAGCTCAGAATCTGACTGCTCTCAGTTTGACTTGTGACCTTTGTGATCCAGCCTGCAGCCTGTGCTGGGATCGTGGATGGATGTGTGAGACAAGGAGCATTTCCCACTCCTAGGATTGAGAGGTGACTTTGGTGAGACACCTCCCCTGCCAAATCTGCTTCCCTTTCCTCCTGTCTCCACAGCCCAAACCTGCCCAGGGCTCTCCCTGGATCCCTTCACACCCCACTGTGATTCTGTGATTCTGTGATTCTGTGAGAATGTGATTCTGTGATTCTGTGATTCTGTGATTCTGAGATTCTGTGATTCTGTGATTTTATGTGTGGTTGCTGCAGGTGTAGCCCAGTCCTAGAACATCAGAGTTTGCCTCTAACCCCATAGCCAGGGAGATGTGTCAGGAAATCAGTCCTGGAGCTGAGGTTTCCCTGGGTGGGCTGCAGTTTGTTCAAGGATGAACAGTTTTTCTCAGTAAGCAAAAAGATTTCAGTGTAAGTGAAACCTTTTACAGCAGTGCTGAGAATGTGTCTCAGAGCTGATCTGGGCCAGGGAGCATTTTCTGTAGCATCACTGAAAAGAAATTACAAATGATCAGCCTCTGAGAGAGGCCTGTAACCTCAAAAGAGTCCTGGAGAAACTAAATACTCCAAAAAGCCCTCAGGAGAAAGTTAATAAAATCAATGAATTTTTGAATGGCCTGTGTCCAAAGTCCAGGAGGAAATGCCAGGTTGGATAGGGCTTGGGGCATGCTGGTCTGATGGCAAGTGGCCTGGTGCATGCAGGGGAGTTGGACTGAGATGATCTTTAAGGTTCCTTCCAAAACAAACAATTCCATGGTTTTCCAAAACCAGAGAATGGGAAGGGTGCAGTGGTGCAAGACCAGAGTAGTTGCTCAGGTTCCTATGGTTAATAAGATGCTTATTTTTTTCATGTCTGCAGGACATTTGTGAGGGCTCTAGAGCTTGGGGAGTTCTGTCTGACTGCTGGATCCTTCTGGAGCAAGCCTGAGCCAAAGGTGCCCAGGGGTCACTGCACATGGATGGAGACCACCTCCTTGTGAATGGACCAGCACTGATGCTCCTCACTTTTCACTGCCTGAACTGCCACTCCAGAAATCCCTCCCCAGCTATCCTGACCCTCTCAGCTCCAGTGCCTTTTCCCGTGGGCCATCTCACCCCCCTCTGAGTTTCTCCTCACTTCTCTCACACCACTCACAAAGCCTTTTTGACTCTTCACTGGGAGCAGATAAACTCTGCCAGGGATGCAGAACAGCTCAGGGCAAAGTGGGGATCAGATCCCTCAAGTTTAGCCTCTCCTGGATGCCTTTTCCCCATCACTTGGTCACTCAGCACAGCAGGGCACAGGGAGGAGAAGCATTTGACTTTGTGATGAATGCAAAGTAATCTGTTTTGCTGTTCCTGTCAGGTGAAGGCAGAGAGCTGGGCACCTTTGGGATATGATTCATCTCATCCTCCTGCTGATGTCTCAGATGCATCAGAGGAATCATGTGTTGCAGGGGTTTGAAGTTCAGTGAGGACATTCCCACCCTGTGTGTCCATTTGCATGTGTGTACTGGGGTGTTAGGACATAGAAGTGGCCATTTAAATGCTGCAGCTTATCTCTGGAGTGGCTGGAGGGTAAGAGAGACACTCACCTGAGGCTCAACTAACCACCACTCTGGAGGTTTCTTGACATCTGAAGGCTCATATTTGTAAGCAGAGTAGACAGGAATTCTATTGTTTCTGTCGTACAGGGTGGCAAAGTGATACTTGTTCCTGAAGAACTGGCAGATCAAGGCTGGTTTCTCTGGATTCAGGGCATCATTTGGAGTGGTCCCTGCATAGAAAAACTCAGAACATTCTTCAAAGGACTTCACCACCTCACCGTGTCCCAGGCAGAGGCAGCTGGCCAACACCTTCAGCAGCAGCAGCCCCAGCATCGTGGGAGGGTTTCAGTGAAGGGTTCTTGCTCCCCTGGAAGGCAAATGCAGAGGGACACTCAGCTTGGAGAGAGATGGTCATGGCCTGGAGCCTTTTGTGCAGGGGGACAGAGCTGACAGAGCAGGGGATTATGAGAGACCAGGAAAGGAATAATTTCTGTCCTGCATATGGAAAAATCACAAGAGCAATAAAGGTGAAACCTAAAACAGGGTTTAGGAGCCCAGAGGAGGCAACAGTGGGAGAGCTCAGCCTGTAGAAGGAAGGAGCCAAACTCCCACGAGTGCAATCAGCTCTCACAGCAAATGATATTGCAACTGAGGCACAGCCTGGGACAAGGTCACATTTCCCTCCTGCTCTCAGCACCTTCCCACAGCAGACACCTGCAGCTGGGCACAGTCTCTGCTCAGCCCCCTGCAATTCTGAGCTGGCCTTTAATCTCATGGGGCATTGGGCAGGCAAAGAATAGCAATGCTGCACTTTCTGCATGTCCCTGGCCCCATCCAGGTTCACACAGACACGCAGCTCTCCCAGTCAGACCCAGTTCTGAGCCCCAGATGATCCACCTGGGGTCCTGCCCCTCACCTGGCATTGGGCAATGGGTGTCCTGCTGCTCGCCTTGCATTTCCACTTTATCCAACCCCCGACTCTGAACTTGCAGACACACGGAGAGAGCAAATGAAGGGACCAAGCAGATGGTAGCAGCAAACATGGGGGGTAGCACCTCTATCTTACCAGCACAATGGCTGCTGCAATGCAAGCACTGAGGGGCAGCTCTTCCCCTGTTTGCTTGGGATTCCTTCTGATGCCCATCTTCAGCTTTGCTGATTGATTTCCATGTACAGTTAAAGGCACCATAGCAGGAATTTTTTTGGACAGCCACTTGTTCTGTTTTGTCTTTCTCAGTGCTCAAGTGATTTTCTGCAGTCAGTAAGATCATCCCCTATAGAGAAACTGATGAACAGCCCCCTGAGATACTGGCAAGCAAGCAAGCAAGCTTTGCCTCCTTTCAGAGGCAGCACAGATTTGGGAGAGCAGAGATGCTTCCATTTGCACTGCATGACACTCATTTATTATCATCAGCATTTGGAATAAGGGAGCTGGGACAGGCAGTTCAAAGGGTTCCTAGGAGAAAAAGCTGCCACAGCCTGTAAAGCACAAAGCCCACCTTGGGCTGGGAAGGGTCTGAGCTGAGGAGTGCTGAGGGCTTGACAAGGCACCTTGCACATTTGGTGGTTCCTTCTTCTATTTCCTGACCCTCATCTCTCCATTACCACTGGATTCAGGATGCTGAGCTGCACACAGCCCAGCTCTGACCCAAGATATGTGGTCCTTTTTCTCATTTTCATCCTGCTATCAGGAACATGGTGGCCAATGAGCTGGAAACTGAGAACTGGAACTACAAGTCAGGACTCTTTCAGTACTCTGTAGAGCATGCCCATAGCTGCCCCAAATCTAGCAGAAAATTGTGTGAAAAGTCCTTCTGCATGACCCCTCCATGAGATTAATATAGATCTCACTAACTTAATATCTAACATAGCAGATACATGGAAAACAACCTACCGTGAGAAGGAATGGCACAGGATTCTGCTCACAGCCCCAGAGTGGCAGAGGAGTCTCAAATGCCTCTGCTGCAGTCTCAAACTGTCTGGGTTTATATGCTCACCAGGGAGAGACAGTTGTTTGATTTCCAAAGAAGTCTTTTGAGTAAATTTTCCTGGGAATTCAGACCGCACCTGTGTTTGTCCAGATGTTTTTGCAAGGTCACAGGTGGAGTTTTACTACTGAATAATCTCCCCTTTCCTTCTTATTCAACAGTTCGATATTTATTTTCAGGTGAGCTGGCTTGAATTTCTTTCCCAAATCTTTCCTTCTGTGGTTGCCCTCCTGACTGACAGAAAATACTACACTGCTGCAAAATTCAATGCATGCATAAGCTCTGATTGCCCCTTGGAGCTCAGCAACTCCAAGAATAAACTTTAACTCTAGGAATAATAGGCTTTGCCTATTCATGTTTATTCTGAAACTCAGGGAAGATTTTGAATATTGGAGTCAATGGTGAAAAAGGAGGAAGAGCTTACCTTGAAGCAGAGTCTCAGAACAGGCAGCTGAACTGTTCCTTCTGTCTTCTCCCTGGAGAAAGAACTGTTTGAATTCCCCAGGAGTGCCACTGCAATATATACCCAGTCCTAAATCTGCTCCTTGTTATAAACAGGAAATTCCGCAGAACAGAGAAGATTTCTATTTTCATTCAGGGGGTTTGTTCACACCCACCCTGAAATGTCTTGATAGTTGTTTTTCATCATTTCCACAGAATTTCTCCCAGCTTTGCTGACTGGCAGCATGGTATGTCCACATCAGTTAAATATATACCCAGTAACGAATCTGCCTTTTTTTTATAAACAGGGATTTCCATAGAAAGGAGAAGTTTTTGATTTTTATTTACAGGAGTTTGTTCATACCCACTCTGAAATGTGCTGACAGTTGTTTGCCATAGTTTCCCCAGAATTTTTGCCAGAATTTGCTGACTGGCAGCATGGTATGTCAAAATCAGCTAACAGGGTCTGGTCACTTCCTTGGTCATTCCATCCATCCCACCAGCTGCAGCTGCTGCTGCTCCAGGACCTACACGTGTTTCTGTTCCCAACAGAACAGCTCTGGTGACATTGGATGGACTGGCCTGTCCCTGAGTACACTCAGATATTCACAGTCTGCTCTTCTGCAGCCTCCCAGGACATAATTCCTATGATATTCTATAATTTCTTCTGTTTACAGAAGTCCAGGAATAATAGAATAATTAGTTTGTTGTTACAACCAGAAGTATCCAGATGAAGTGTGTTAGACCAAAGGTTGTTTAAACAAACTGGTTGAGTCCTGTGGTTTCTTTTGTCTCTGTTAACCAAGGACTGATGTGTTAAAGTGGGGATTAGCCAGAATGAGGGAGAAAGCCAAGAAGAAGCAGATCTGGTGGAGGAGGGGCGAATTCCTCCTTTCTGATGAGGCCCAACTGACATAACCAAGCAGGGCCCAGCAGTGGTCCCATCATCAGAAGGGGCCATAAACAATCAAAGACCCATAAAGTGTTCCCCAACACTAAAGTGCTGCATGACACAGTGTGAAACCCCTCCCAGGGGGAAAGTTGGGCAATCACACATAATCTTGAATGCACAGAACCCATTGAACTCTTTGTTGCACAGGACCCCACTCCCACAGGATCAAGTATGACGACATCAAAGTTTGAAGTCTCATTGCAGGAGCCATGGAGATATCTTGTTAGAGCTCTTGGCACCCAGGCCCACTTTGTTCATGCTCATTTGTAGGAGAAGTAAGTGGAGTCTGATGCTGACACTTGTGTGGATGTTATGGCATCCTCTGGTTGTGTTTGGACACCCATCCTCCTGTGAGCATGGGCACTGTTACTTTCCTGCTGGTGGAAATTTCAGTGGGAAGCAACTTGTGGTTTATATATGAGGTGAACCTGCAATCCAGCATGGTAGCAAGAAAACTTTGTTGTGAATGCCTGTGTTGGGTCTGACCGAGGTAAAGGTCACAATCCTTACAGTGCTGTGCTGGTAGCTGTCCAGGTGTTGATAAGAAACCAGAGCAAAGCACCACTGGACCTCTGTGGGAATCCAGGGCATCCCTCTGGCTGCCCTGGGACCCTGGCAGGGGTCAGGAACCCCCCTGGACAGAGCCCCCAGAGACACTGTCTGTGATCTCTGTCCATGGAAAAGAGTTTTCAATCTTACAGGATNAATTACAAGCTCTCAGTGTTTGATATAAGGAATAATTAAGTGTAGCGTGGGTGCAAAAGTAAAATTTTAGGATTCTAGATTAGGGGTCCAAAGAGGATAAGCTGGAGGAAATTGGGTGTGCCTTGTCCTTTTTCTCTTTCTTCATGCCCTCCATGTTTCACTGTGGTGTTGGCATTTTTCTGTTGGTTCAGGCTGGGGACACACTGTCCAACGTAGGTGACAGATATTGGCACGTTCTTGTAAATCCAGCCCAGGGAGTTTCTGGTATTTAATGTTTGTAACATCCCACTGAGGGCAGAGCCCCACACGCTGCCCTGCAGGACAGAGCTGGGCAGGGCAGCAGAACATGTGAGAGATAAACAGAATAAACAACCTGGAAACCAGCACAGACCAATTATGGCTTCTGCTTTGGCTGCGGGGCTGACAGACAGAGACTTTCTATAATCTCAGAATCATCAATAGCTCAGATTCCGACAGCCCTCGATGTTCCTTCCCCCATCAAAGGGGATGGGAGTGGGCAAGATCCTGGGAGGGGACACAACCCGGCCAGCTGACACAGATTACCCAAAGGGATTTTTCATATCATATGACTTCAGCTCAGATATATAAGCTAAGGGAGAGAGGAGGAAGAGTTGGGGGAGTGTGTGTGAGTTTTCACTGTTGGCCTTCTGGAGGAATTGTGCCCTGCTTCCCAGGAAGCATCTGAACATCATTGCTGTTATGAAGTAGAGATTGACTTTTGCTCTCTTTAGCTCTTGCACACCAGGCACACACCTTCCTGGAGTGTTTGTTTGTTGAGATTCCTCTTTGGAGTGGAGATGCCTCTCAAGGTCACTTCTCAAGGCTGAGCCAATGAGATTTGATCACGGTCATTGGTATGGGTGGTCTCTATTTAATTGTTTTTGCTGGTTTTAATATAACTGCTTTAATATATTTGCTTCAATACTGCTTCATAACACACAATATTATACTAGTAGTTCTAGCTTCCATGCTGTGAATGAAATAATTCTGATTAACATATTTTTGCCTTATCATTATAATCTTAAATCATATGTAATTATGTAAATATGTATGGTTTGCAATCCTCAAACCCACGGGACAAGTTGTATAAAGTTTCAATTACGTCAATATAATCATTTAGATATAAACAATTGACAAAATCTAGGGCTAAGATTGGATCCAGCTGAACCCAGACAGCTCCCTGAGAAGGAGTTTACCAAGCAAAGGGTTCATTTCTGCAGCTCATGACTCAACAGGAAGGTTTCTCTATTAACCTCTGCCTGAAGCTCCCATTCTGCCCACAAAACCACTTTCAAGGAAAAGGGACGCCCCCAAGATCCCTAAATGTTCATGGTCAAAAGGAACAACAAAAATCAGAAGATATGTAAAGTTCCACAAGGTTTTATTAGTAAATTACACACTTGGCATGGAAATTGTTATGTTAGTCCCTAAACTACTCTATAAGCAAAGCAGGTGGCAGAAGGTACTCTTTTATATATAAATTTTCCTGACCTGAAGACAGGTTTCTCACTTCCTAATGGAAACTAGATATCATGTGAAGTTTGCTCTCTCAGACCTTCCTGGAAATGAATGAGAGGCCTTTGGGAGGCTTGGGTTGTCTTGTTCTCTTCTACAGTCCATTTGTCCCCCTCTACTCTGTTCTGGTGAGACCCCAGCTGCAGTGCTACCTTCAGCTCTGGGATCCACAACAGAAGAAGGAGACAAAGCTGTTGGAGTGGAGTCTGGAGGAGGCCACAGACATGCTCCAAGAGCTGGGGAACACCTGCTCCAGAAAGAGGGTGAGAGAGCTGAGGGTGAGGGAGCCTGGAGAAAAGAAGGCTCTTGGGACAATGTGGACCCCTTCCAGTGTCTAAAGGGTTTTGAAAAAGAGAGGGACTTTGGACAAGGGTATGGAGTGACAGGACAAGAGGGAATGGCTGTAAACTGAAAGCAGGTGGGGTTACATTAGATGTCCAGAAGAAATTCTTTACTGTGAGGGTGGTGAGGCCCTGACAAAGGTTGTCCAGAGAAGTTGTGGCTGCTCCATCCCTGGAAGTGTTAAAAGCTCCAGGCTTGGAGCCACCAAGGATAGTGGAAGGTGTCCCTGCCCATGGTTCAGGAGCTGAGACTACATGTATGGTCTTTGAAATTCCTTCAAACCCAAACCATTCTGTGATTCTATGACATGTGGCAAACGCTCCTGAACCTGTTCCACCCAGGATGTGAGACTTATTCCCGGGGACAGTCACTGTCAAACAGGGAAACCTGTCCCCTCCCATAGAGCTCAGTTAACGTGTCCTCCAGCTCCCCCAGGGTGAGGAGCTGGACCTGGTTCCTGTCGTTCTCAGCCACGACCGCCCAAGACTTTATGTAGTGGTTGTCCACCACGCAGCAGGCAGCTGACCAGAGGTGGCTGGGTTTATTAACCCTCCCCTTGGCGATGTAGTTGTTCCCAGGCACAGCACCCACGATGGCATAGGTGGTTTTACAGCCCTGGTTGCTCCTGATCATGGTTTGCTGCTCGTAGTTGTTCCAGGCGCCGCCGTTGAGTCTCTCATCCTGGGGCACTATGTTGGTGAGGGTGAAGGTAGCCACCCTGCTGCTGTAGTCATCGTGGTGGCCACTGGGGTTCAAATGGCCCCGGTTCAAACCCGTCAGGTTCTTGTAGTCATGAAGGATAGCCTGGCTCTGGCTGAGTTTCTCTAAGGTGACATTGTACCGATTTAAGAGTGTCCACTCTTTTTCCATAGTTTCGGGATAAGCTGGACCAATCAGCTTGACATGAAAAAAAGAGGAAAAGGTGTTAGCATTGGGGATGAGGATAATTGAACAGACATTCCTAGAGCAGAAGTTTCTGAGTATCAAGATCCTGTTTTTTGTCTGCTCCTAATGTGGTACAATACCAGATTAGTTGCTTGAGTTCCTATGAGGAACTGAAAGTGCAATCAAACTGCAAATATTTTTTATTTCAGAAATCTGTTTCACATTTAGTGCATTATATTTAGTTTTCCTTTGTAACACTGCATGTGGGTTTCTTCTGTGGTTCATTTTCATGTAAATCAATCCTGCCCCTCTATCCTTACCAATGACATGAATTTCCTCTTTTTGTGCCCGTTATTTCCTTGGCCTGTTTTCCTAAAGTTCTGAAGTTTGACTGAAAGACATCTGGGAGAGCTCTTTTGGTTTTGGAGTTCTGTCTGACTGCTGGATCCTTCTGGAGCAAGCCTGAGCCAAAGGTGCCCAGGGGTCACTGCACATGGATGGAGACCACCCCCTTGTGAATGGACCAGCACTGATGCTCCTCACTTTTCACTGCCTGAACTGCCACTCCAGAAATCCCTCCCCAGCTATCCTGACCCTCTCAGCTCCAGTGCCTTTTCCCGTGGGCCATCTCACCCCCCTCTGAGTTTCTCCTCACTTCTCTCACACCACTCACAAAGCCTGTTTGACTCTTCACTGGGAGCAGATAAACTCTGCCAGGGATGCAGAACAGCTCAGGGCAAAGTGGGCATCAGATCCCTCAGGTTTAGCCTCTCCTGGATGCCTTTTCCCTATCACTTGGTCACCCAGCACAGCAGGGTACAGGGAGGGAAAGCATTTGACTTTGTGATGAATGCAAAGTAATCTGTTTTGCTGTTCCTGCCAGGTGAAGGCAGAGAGCTGGGCACCTTTGGGATATGATTCATCTCATCCTCCTGCTGATGTCTCAGATGCATCAGAGGAATCATGTGTTGCAGGAGTTTGAAGTTTAATGAGAGGAATCCTGTCCAGTGTGTCCATTTGCATGCATGTAGGGAAGTGGGAGGAAATAGAAAAGTTGGGTTGAATGCTGCAGCTCATCTCTGGAGTGGCTGGAGGGTGATGTGATGTAGGGGAGACACTTACCTGAGGCTCAACCAGCCATGTTTTAGGTCTTTTGCCAGGTCCAGGCTGGTAGATGTAAGCAGAGTAGACAGGAATACGCATCTTCCTGTCGTACAGGGTGGCGAAGTAATACTGGTTCTTGTAGCGCTGGCAGATCCAGGCTGGGTTCTGTGGCTCCAGAGCTTTGTTTGGGGGGATCTCCCGGAAAAAAAACTGGGGACATGAAGTTTCAAAGGACTTCACCACCTCGCCGTGACCCAGCCAGAGGCAGCTGGCCAACACCTGCAGCAGCAGCAGCCCCAGCATCGTGGGAGGATTTCAGTGAAGGGCTCTTGCTCTCCTGGAAGGCAAATGCAGAGGAGGGGACTGTAAGAGACCAAGGAGGGGCTAACTTCTGTCCCTCTGGGTATGGAAAAATAATCAGTGCTATAGGGTTGTGCAGGGAGATGACTGGGGATAGAAAGATAATGGTAGAGAAGTTACAGGGGAAAATATAGTTGATTGTCCCTGGATGAAACACAGTCAGCATACCTGGCCTCCCACACACAAAGAGGACTAAATCTAAGGTGGGCCTAAACAGCAGATGGAGTGGAGTGGAGACATCAGGGCCAGGCTCTGTCAAAACCCTTGCAGAGGAGATACCTCGGTCGTATTTTCTGGCTGATCGTCTCTGTGACATGTCATGAAAACATGGGAAACAAATGAAGATGTCCTGCTGCTGAATCAGCAACCATGGCAAAATGCCTCTCCTCAGACTGATGCACATCCCCATCCCAAGGTTACTGCAGGTACTTTATTGAGATATTCACCCCCAAGGCATGAGAGCCCCTCACTGAGAAAGATGTATGACTACATGCAAACACCACCTAAATGTAAAGAAATAGTATGAAAGTGAATTAAAAATGGAGAGAAGTGATGGAAGACTCCACTGTAACTTCTGGGATCAGTTGATGGGCTGAACCTGCCTTCTCTCCCTTAGGGATGTCTATTGAGTAAGAATCCTGCTTCATGCATGCTGAATGATTACCTTAAGCTAGTTTTTGTTGGGGATTAAAGCTTATTAGTATGTTCTGAATTAGTATCTCACTTTGAATATCTTTTTGCAGTCAGATACCTTCACTGGCAAGTCTCAAACCTCAGCCTGTTACAGTTTTATTAATAGTGTTATTCTGTAAACAGTTAAAGTGATTCCTTCAGGGGCTCTGGCACTTTCTGGCAGTGGTTAAAGATGTGGAGACCCAGGAGGGGTTTCTCTGGTTGGTGTGTGACTCTGAACAAGTCAGTCAAACCCTCCAACCCAGAGACCTGCTCAGTGAAGGGTCCCTACCACGGGACACCAACAGACTGAGAAGGTTTTGGCTTTTATGTGGCATTGACAGACTGAACACACACTAAAGGTTTGAGCAAATCTCCCTTTTTCACATGAGAGGGTGAAATCTAAAATAGGTTTTAGGGTGCCCAGCGGAGGCAATGATGGGGGCATAGTCTGTCTGAGGGGTGTTCCAAACCCACCCAATGCCTAAACAGTTCTCATGGCAAAGTTATCATGGAACTGAGATATGGCACTGAGCCAAGGTCATCTTTTCCAGCCTACCTCAGTTGGTCAAGAGCTCAGCTTTTGCACTGGCACTGGAGAAAAAAGTCCTTCTACAAAACAGGGTTGGGAAGCCCCAGCTTCCAAACATGATCTCATAAAATCCCAGAAGAAACTGAGTTGGAATGGACCCATCAGGACCATCAAGTCCAACTTCTGGCCCTGCACAGGACAGCCCCAGAAATCTCACCATGTGCCTGGCAGTATTGTACAAACACATTTCATACTCAGGCAGGTATGGTGATGTGACCACTTCCCTGGGGAGCTTGTTTCAGGGCTCAGCCACCCTGGGTGAAAAACCTCTTCCTGATGTCCAGCTTAAATCTTTCCTGACTCAGTTTCAGGCCATTCTCATTCCCTCCTGCTCTCAGCACCTTCCCACAGCAGACACCTGCAGCTGGGCACGGACTCTGCTCAGCCCCCTGCATTGAGCAGACAAAGAACAGCAATACTGCACTTCCTGCACATCCCTGGCCCCATCCAAGTTCACACAGACACGCAGCTCTCCCAGTCAGACCCAAGTCTGAGCCCCAAATGATTCACCTGGGGTCCAGCCTCTGAGCTGACATTGGGGTATTAAGCTGCATATACCCTTGGCTCTGATGCAAAACATCTGGTCCTTTTTCTCTTTAGCAACCCCAGATCAGGAACACTGTGACCAGTAAGCTGGAAACTAAGAACAGGAACAACAAGTGGTGACTTTTTACAGTACTCTGCATAACATGCCCATAGCTGCCCCAAAACAAGCAGAGAAGTTCCTGAAAAGTCCTTCTGCATGACCCCTTCCAGCTTAAAATATATTTAACTAGCTTAATATCTAACTTAATATCAGACACATAAAAACCAGCCTACCGTGGGAAAGAGTGGCACAGGATTCTGCTCGCAGCCCCAAAATGGCAGAGGAGTCTCAAATGCCTCTGCTGCAGTCTCAGATTGGCTGTTTCTATATGATCTCCAAGTAGGCAGTTGTTAGATTTCCCACAGTGTTTAGAGGGAGTTTGTCCAGGAGTTCAGCCACCTGTGTTTATCCAGAGGCCTCTTGCAAGGTCATGGATGGAGTTTTGGTGCTCAATAAACTCGCCCCTCCTTCTTACTGTACAGTTGATGTTAATTTTCCAGGTGATTTGACTTGAAATTCCTTCCCAAATAATTCCTTCTGTCCTTGACCTCCTTTACAGGAAGTGTTAAAGAGCTGCGAAATTCAGTGCATGCATAAACTCTCCTTGGAGAGCTGTTGGAACTCAGCAGCTCCAGCCTAGGCTTTCTCTCTATGTATTTATTCCAAAGCTCAAGAAAGTCTTGAAATATTGGAGTAAATCGTAAGAAATGAGCACGAGCTTACCTTGAAGCAGAGTCTCAGAACAGGCAACTGAAGAGTTCCTTTCTTCTTCACCCTGAAGAAACACTTGGCTGATCCCTCAGGAATCCCAGTGCATTATATATACCTGGTCATAAATCTGCCTGTTGTCATATGCAGGGAATTTCACTGAAAAGAAAGGTTTTCTGTATTATTCAAGGAGATTAGTTCACAACCACCCTGAAGTGGGGTGACAGTTGTTATTTGCAATTTCCTCAGGATTTCTCCCAGGTTATTGCAGCATCACATGTCAGGAGAAAATAACTGGGTCTGGTGACTTTCCTCATTCCTCACGAATGGGGACCTACACGTGTTTCTGTTCCTGGCAGAACATCTCCTGTGGCATTAGCCTGACTGGCCTGTCTCTGAGTACACCCAGATGTTCAGTCTGCTCTTCCACAGCCTCTCAGGACACAATTAGTAGGGTCAGGCTGCATATTTTCCCTTGCCTGATTGGAAAGGCTTTGTAAGAGCCCTTACTCATGCAAAGCCTTCTGCTGAGAAGGTTCTGGGAGACCTTAGAGCCCCTTTCAGTACCTGAGAGTGGTTCACATGGAGAGGAACTTTTGAGAGGGGTTTGGAGTGACAGGACAACAGGGAGCAGCTTCAAAATTACAGAAGGCAGAGCTAGATTAGATGGTATGATTAGATTTTAGTCTTGAGTAGAGCAGGCTCAGTACAATTACCTAAAAGGAGGTTGTAATGAGGTTGAGGTTGGTCTTGTCTACCATGCCAGCAGTGAGAGGACTAGAGGAAAAGACTTTAAGATGAGACAGGGGATATTCAAATTAGATATTAGAAAAAATATTTCCAGCATCATGTGGTGAGGCAATGGAAAAGGTTGCCCAGAGAGGTGCTGGAATCACCATCCTTGGAGGTGTTTCAGAGGCATTTGGATTTGGTACTGGGTGATATGTATTAGTGGTTTAAGGTTTACAGTTTCTGGGTACTTCCAGGGGTAAAGGTCCCCAGGACAGCCCAAGGAGGGGGTGGAGGTGGGATTCATGGGGTTGGTCAATCACCCATAGTTCCAGAGCCTGAAAAGTGGAAGCAGTGGGCATGGGATGAGCAGGGGTGAGGATGAGTGTGGCCCCAAGCCCCAGCTGATGTGCAGAGGTGGGTGAGCAAGTCAGAGGGAGCTCTCTGAGGTACAGCAGAGGTGTCTGCAGAAGTCTTTCAGCCTGAAATAGTGCTGATGTTCTGGGAACTGTGACATTGTGGGTAGTAGAAATTTCAGCGAGAAACAACTTGTGGTTTATACCTGAGATGACCCTGCAAACCAGCACTGCAGCAAATAATTTTTATTGTGAGCTACTCAGGAAATAAATTATATATTCTATGATGATCTTTTTATTATGACATTGAATACATTGAATAAATGGAATACATTTTCACAAATCAGATCCCTGTAATTTTGCAGAAAAGCTTTAGAAGCAGAGCAGAGAATGAAGGTATCCAAGCAGTGCATCACAGAAATTTATCTTTGACTGCTCAAAGCTTCCTTTATATCTAATGCCTCATCCTGCCTGTCTGATACCACAGCTGCTGCTCTCAAGGTGCAGTTCCAAAAGCAGGCAAACAAAGCCATGTCTCAGGATCACAGAATCACTGAATTGTTGAGTGTGGGAGGGACATCTCAGGATCTTCTAGTCCATACCCTTGGACAAGGAGGATCATCTAGAACAAGTTGTCCTGAATCTTGTCCTTGACCTGGAGTGCTGTGTCCAGATCTAGAGCCCACAACATGAGAAGGACAAAAAACACATTGGAGTGGAGTCCAGTGGAAGCCACAAAGATGTTTTAAGGTCTGGAACATCTCTGCTCTGGAGTCAGGCTGAGACAGCTGAAGGTGTTCAGCCTTGACAAGAAAAGGCTGTGGGAGAAGTTGGATCCCCTTCCACTACCTAGAAGTTCACCAAGAGATCTGGAGAGGGATTTTGGACAAGGACATGGAGTGACAGGACTCCAAGAGGGAATGGTTTCACACTGACAAAGAACAGGGTTACATGAGATGTTAGGGAGAAATTCTATACTGAGGTGGTGGTGAGGCCCTGTCGCAGTGTGAGCAGAGAAGCTGTGGCTGTCCCATCCCTGGAAATGTTCAAGGCCAGGTTGGATGGGCCTTGGAGCAACCTGGTGTAGTGGAAGGTGTCACTGCAGAGGGAAAGGGATAGAACAAGATGATCTTCAAAGTCCCATAAACCACAAAGCATTCTGTGATCCTGTGACATGTGGGAAAATCTCACGAGCCTTTTCCACCCAGGAGATGAGGTTTGCTAGCGGGGACAGGCCCTGTGGAACAGGGAAACCTGTCCCCTCCCATAGAGCTGGGACAAGCATGTCTCCAGTTGTGCCAGTGTGAGGTTCCGGACCTGATTCTTGTTGTTTTCAGCAATGACTGCCCAAGTGTTCATCCTGGTGCTGGTCTGGCAGCAGGCAGCTGACCAGATGTGGCTGGGCACATTAACCCTCTTATTGGAGATGTAGGTGTTCCCAGGCACAGCACCCGTGATCACGTAGGTGATTTTACAGCCCTGGGTTTTCTGAGCCATCATTTGGTTCTCGTAATCTTTCCACTGGCCCTTGTTGAGTGTGCTGTTCTGGGGCACTATGTTGGTGAGGGTGAAGGTAGCCCACTTGCTGTTGTTGCCACTTTGGTGGCTACTGGGGCTCAAGTGACCACGGTCCAAACCCTGGAGCTTGTTGTAGTCTTGGTTGATAGCCTGACTCTGGCCAATCTGCTGTGAAGTGATCTTGTATTTCTTTGCAATGGAGCTCTCTGTATCCATATCTTTGTCATAAGTTGGGTTAATCAGCTTGACAGGGAAAGAAGAGGAAAGGGTGTCAGTACTGAGGATGTATGTAATGAAACAGATTTCCCTGGAGCAGAAGTCTCTGATAGTCAAGAACCCATTTTTTTGTCATCTCAGTGTAGGAAAAGGTATGGATTTGAGAGAAATCATACACATGTCCCTCCTGCATGAATGCAAGAGCTTTAATGAGCAAGCAGCTCAGAATCTGACTGCTCTCAGTTTGACTTGTGACCTTTGTGATCCAGCCTGCAGCCTGTGCTTGGATCATGGATGGATGTGTGAGACAAGGAGCATTTCCCACTCCTAGGATTGAGAGGTGACTTTGGTGAGACACCTCCCCTGCCAAATCTGCTTCCCTTTCCTCCTGTCTCCACAGCCCAAACCTGCCCAGGGCTCTCCCTGGATCCCTTCACACCCCACTGTGATTCTGTGATTCTGTGATTCTGTGAGAATGTGATTCTGTGATTCTGTGATTCTGTGATTCTGAGATTCTGTGATTCTGTGATTTTATGTGTGGTTGCTGCAGGTGTAGCCCAGTCCTAGAACATCAGAGTTTGCCTCTAACCCCATAGCCAGGGAGATGTGTCAGGAAATCAGTCCTGGAGCTGAGGTTTCCCTGGGTGGGCTGCAGTTTGTTCAAGGATGAACAGTTTTTCTTGGTAAGCCAAAAGATTTCAGTGCAAATGGAATCTGTTACAGCAGTGCTGAGAATGTGTCTCAGAGCTGATCTGGGTCAGGGAGCATTTTCTGCAGCATCATTGATATGGAATTAAAAAACATCAGCTTCTGAGAGAAGGCTGTAACCTCAAAAGAGTCCCGTGAAAACTAAATATTCCAAAAAGGCCTCAGGAGAAAGTTATCAAAATCAAGTGTTTTTTCAGGTATCCTGTGTCCAGGGTCTAGGAAGATAAGGCCAATGATGGATTTGGAGCATGCTGGTCTGGTGGCAAGTTGCCTTTTCCCCATCACTTGGTCACTCAGCACAGCAGGGCACAGGGAGGAGAAGCATTTGACTTTGTGATGAATGCAAAGTAATCTGTTTTGCTGTTCCTGCCAGGTGAAGGCAGAGAGCTGGGCACCTTTGGGATATGATTCATCTCATCCTCCTGCTGATGTCTCAGATGCATCAGAGGAACCATGTGTTGCAGGAGTTTGAAGTTTAATGAGAGGAATCCTGTCCAGTGTGTCCATTTGCATGTATGTAGGGAAGTGGGAGGAAATAGAAAAGTTGGGTTGAATGCTGCAGCTCATCTCTGGAGTGGCTGGAGGGTGATGTGATGTAGGGGAGACACCTACCTGAGGCTCAGCAAACCACGATTTAGATCTGCTTCCAGGTCCTGGCTTGTAGATGTAAGCAGAGTAGACAGGAATACGCATCTTCCTGTCGTACAGGGTGGCAAAGTGATACTGGTTCTTGTAGCGCTGGCAGATCCAGGCTGGGTTCTGTGCCTGCAGGGCATTACCCGGAGTAGCATTGTTGTAGAAAAACTGAGGACAACTTGCAAAGGACTTCACCACCTCACCGTGTCCCAGGCAGAGGCAGCTGGCCAACACCTGCAGCAGCAGCAGCCCCAGCATCGTGGGAGGATTTCAGTGAAGGGCTCTTGCTCTCCTGGAAGGCAAATGCAGAGGGACACTCAGCTTGGAGAGAGCTGGTCATGGCCTGTGCAGGTGGGACAGAGCTGGCAGAGGAGCAGTCTATTCCCACTGCTCATTCATTGACCACTAAATTGGAATCGTTTTCCTCCACTTCCAAAACTCCAGGAACAACCAACGTGTTGGTTGTTATAACCAGATATGAGCAAAAGAAGTAACTCCTGAGGTCTATAAGCTCATAGTTTTGCATTTCACTGTTTCTTTTTGTCAAAATCTGTGCTCCAGTGCTTATTTACTGGGTCTTCTCTGCCTTTTAAGTTAGTGGAGGCACTGCCTACATGTTGCCCTGAGCTGTGCACTTTCTGGATGAAAGATGTTCAGTGAGGGGAGTGATCCACCTCCCCTGTGATCTTTTCCCCAAGACAAACCTCAGTTTCTTCAGCTTGTAAAAAATTCTCTTGGATCCTCCAGTATTCTTACAGTTGTGAGATCAGAGATTCCTATATGAAGTACTTCTGGTAAGTTTTCCATATCACGGTAGAAAAAGCCCAGGATTTGCAGCACATTTTAGGGAAAATGTTTTGAAGTCTGGATCTGGCTTCTCCCAGTGGATGTTCTCCCGATTTCTCCTTCAGTTTTCTTTCTATCAGTTGCTAAAGGCAGCAGTACAACTCATGCTCAAAGCAGGGCAAGCTGTGATGTAGCTGAGCAAATGCAGGGAAATGGAAACAGCTCTCATGACTGCAGTAGTGGAAAAAGGGGTTTTGAACATGAGGGCAGTACTGTTTCTGCTTTAATGACTGGACATGGCACTCGGTGTCATGGTCTGGTTGACAAGGTGGTGATTGATCAAAGGTGTGACTTGATGATCTTGGGCATCTTTTCCAACCTAAATGATGCTGTGATTCTACTGAAAAAAAAAGAGATGGCATCAAAGCCTTCTGAGTTTTCAGTCCCTGTAGAATAAGGAAGTGAACAGCTGAAGAGATACTAAATGCATGGAGGGCTGCAGGTCTTCAAGGCAAAGTAAATCACAGCAGCAGAAGCCAAATGCACATGAGAAAACAAAATGCAAGGAAGAGAAATGTTGCTTGGATAGACGTATTGAGGAGATTTGTGCTCTTCTGGACTGTTCTCCTTCAAGGGCAGCAAAGATCCCATGGCCACAGATCCCATGGATCTGTGAGTGAGGACAGAGAGGGAGTATAGATAACTCAAGGACAGCAACTCTTTACATCAGCCAGGAAGGTGATACACACAGGTCTCACTTTACATGCCAAGTGTCCTTATAGAATCACAGAAAGAATCATGGAATGGTTTGGACTGGGCGGGACCTTAGGGATTATCCATTTCCAAGCCCCCTGTTTTGACACCTTCCACTAGACCAGGTTGATCAAAATCCAATCCATCCTGGCCTTGAACATTTCCAGGGATGAGGCATTCACATGTTCACCTTTGCCAGGTGTACAAATGAGAGTGGATGGGCAAAACACTGACCCAATCAGACCAAAAATTAGAAGTTCAGAGAAAAGGCAACAGCTGCTTCTTCTGTTCTTCCCCTGTGTCCCAGAAGTGACCCTAAAGCACCTCTGCTGTGCAGGTCTCCCTCAAGGAACATTTTCTATGTGAAAAATAGACCCCTTGTCCAGAGCCATATGAAAAGTATCAATTTTATGGAGAAAAGTGCAAGGAAAAGGTAAGGATATTAAAGCTTGACTATGTTACTAAATCCCCCCCAAGGACAGATGTACATTATACATTTTAAACAATATTCCTCAAGCCTTTCTATGCAACACTCCAAATGCTGGCTCATGGCAATCCTTGAATTTTGGAGATAAATGCATTCAATACATTTTTTCCTCACAAGAATCAACAGCTTTTTTAATATTGTACAGTTCAGCTGAAAAGTTTGGTGTGGGATTTGTATATCTTTGATTACAATAACTCCACTAGACCAGGTGCCACAGTCCCTTTTGCAGGCACAGCAGGTAACACTGAGGTGACAGAGGGGCCACCACCTTGCTACTAACACTCACAACTGAGAGCTGTCAGGCTCCCTGTGGTTACATTCTTTCAGTTTCTTTTGGCTTTTGAGGCCAAAAATCAGTATATTATTTTCACTTTCAGATCCTCAAGTGTCAAAAACTCTGAACTGCATAAGACAGAGGTAGTGAGCATCCACCACAGGGGGGTACAAGCCAGGTTTTGAGCCAGATAAGGGAGAAGGATGATAAGAAGCAGACTTTGTGGAGGTAGGATGGTGTTTTTATCATGGCAGTTGTCCTCCCTTATATAACTGGCTCAGCTGTAGAACCCCCAGCCCTCACCCCTGGTGAAGGTCACACTCACACCTGAGGGTTTTCATCCCTTCTGATGGGCTATAACAGCCTCAACTGCCCTGATGTGAGAGGCAGCTGAGAAGAGGTCACAAACTATCAAAGACCCCCTGAAGTGTCCCCAGACTCATTCCTGAGGCCTTCCACCAAAGCTCCTCCCCTCAGGTGAGGTACCTGGGCATTCTCATCCAGCCTGAGCATATTTCAACTCACTGGACTTTTTGTTTGGGGACTTTTCCCCCAGTGGATGAAGACTGTGACCATCACGTCAACCAAGAGACATCAAAATAACAACAATAAAATCTTGTCCCTGGATCCACAGGTGGTGAGGTCTTTCTATTCTTATCCTTTCTTTCTCTTTCTTTTTTTCCTTTATATATTTTTAAGTGATATTTTAATGGATATATACGGATATGTATATATATATATATAAAATATATAAATATATATATATAAATATGGAGATATATATGGAGATATAGATATATAAAACATGGATATATAATATGGATATGAATAACGATAATACTAACAAAAATTACGACATACCTTCTTTTCCATTGCAACCAAATTGTTCTAAAATAAACCCATATACAAATATATTCTTAAAAACACTGGTCATTCAGTGTTGTTTCATTTTAGCCCACCCCAAGGGATCTGTTAACAAGAACCTGGGTTACCCTTTGCTTCTGTTCTCTCATATTCTGAAGTTGTCCTCAGGTAAAATGGAAGTCCCAGAGTATTAAAGCAACTCTGGAGCCTGAATTCTGAATTTGTGGAATTTTCTTTCCACCATGCAGTGATAACACACTTCCTCATAAGCTATAGCAGCAGTCATAACTGCATTTCAATTTCAGGCACATTTTGGTCCGTATAGAAATTAATCCTTGCTGTGGTTTCATACAGATATATTCTTAGGAGGATGAAATACCTTTACTGATTAATACAACCTGCTTCTAAAGCCTCCTTTGATTTTTCTTCCTGGAAGTTGTTTGTGCATTAGGATTTCACCATGTATGTGGACTCCCAGATGCTGCTGCGATTTGGCTGCTTTGAAGTTGCCCTCAGCTATGCTACCAAGGTGGTCTGAGGCATGGAGCACATAACCTCTGGAAAACAGGGATTCAGACTTGCTGAGTCTGGCCAAAGGGCAGCCCAACAGCCGCCTACAGCTACTCAAAAGGTCAAGAACACCGAAGCTGAGCTCTTTGTGGCAGAGCCAGGCTCTGTAACAAAGGGCAGCACGCACAGACTGGCCTGGGAGGTTGCACAGCAGGATAAAAATTGCCTCTAGGCACCTACTACAGCACTGGAACAGGTTGTTGGGAAATGCCATATGATGAATTGCAGAGGTGACTCAAGGCTTAGCCCCATGAAAACACAGATGAATTAAGAGTCCTGCGGCTGGTGCTGCCAAACAGCATTTCTTTGATCCTATGGTAGATACATCTCCTATCTTCTCCCCATCCCACCCCACCCTGGTCTGCCACACTCAGATATTGACTGGAGAATTATGTCAACATAAATCCTCTGGTCCTGAGAGTTGTACTTTTAAGTCTTTCTATAGCCCAAAGTCATAAAAAACACACCACATACCTCAGAGAGCCAGGAGGAGGACACACTTCAGAATCCTGGTTCAGACTCTTCTGGGGAAAAGACAGCAACTTGATGAGACCCTAGCCACTCATTTCTTTCCCTAAGGAGAGACTGATCTTTTTCAGCAGTGTCTGCACCAGTTTGGTTCCTCTGCTAGCCATCCCCACACTTCAATAAATACAAGCTTTGCTGCTGCACATTAGTTATGCCAAGGGTAATTAGCAGTTGCGTCAACATGATTTCCAGTTTGACTGCTGGCTGACTCCATGTGGAAATGAGGCTGTTGATTGCAAAAGGAAATATGTCAGACCAGGCTTCAGAGGAAGATCCTTGTTGCTCATGAGGAAAAGGAGCCCTTGTGCTCAGGGGCTGTGCCTTTGGTCATCTCTGCTGGGCTTGGCATCTCCTGGAGCCCGTGGATGTGGCACGGAAGGGAGGGCCAGCTGTGTGCAGTGGGCAATGCTGATCTCCTCTTCATCTCTGAAGGTGTCACAGAGCTCACTGCCTTCAGCCAGAAAAGATGTGATAATGCTGTGTTGTAGGAGGGGGCAGGCTCAAATCCTGGCCTTATTAAGAACACGTCCTCATTACAATGAGTTCACAAGAAACTGGCCCTTGAGGACAGACCAACACAAACAAACTCGCTCCTGGCTCACCCCATCTCAATGACTTGTAGTCCCAGGAGCTCTGGTTTTGGCTAAGCAGGATTCACCCTGTTTAAGAGCTGGTTCTCAGCACTCCCTGGAGAGTCAATACAAGAGGAATATCCACATTTCCAGGGCACAGCTCACATCTGGAAGATGAAGGGAATTACACTCTAAAAGTGTTTCTTCCTCTCTGATGACCATGAGTATTCACAGAGGGCCAAGCTCTGACTTACACCTCCAACATTACATGAGCTGAGTCCCGCTTTTTATGTTGCCATCTCTAAATCCATGTCTGTATCACATTAATTAGCCAAAGCATAACAGAAAAATACAAAAGACATCCATTTCCAAAGCCCTTTCCTTCTGGACAGACCTTCAAATCAAACAGCCTCTCCTCATTCATTTTCTTGATGTGTCAATCCAGCAGGAATTTCAGAGGAGGAATTTCAGGGACAAGCTTTCCTGTCTGGAAGGATGTTTTCTTGAGAGCACAAGAAATAATCAGCATTGCAAGGAACAGGAGGGAAGGATGCACTTCATGCAATTCAGTCTGAGTGTTCTCAGACCAAGATATTTTATGTGATTACAGAAGACAACAGAGGATAAGGAACAGAGATTGTTTTTCTTACTTCCTGGCAGGGTTAGCTGTGTGTTTTAAGCCTTACTCAAGACCAAAAGAGCAGATAGCACTACAAGATCACCTGTTTTGAAAATGAGCTCATGCTAAACTGTCCACAGATTAGATGCAAATTTGGGTTCTTGAGAACTGAAGTCAAAAGTTTTTTGTGCAGGTGACCTGCTCTGAGTCAGGCCTCCTGCTGGACTAAGAGCCAGCTCATGGATGCAATGAAGCAAGTCAAAAGTCACCTTAGGCCATGTCTGGGCTCCCCTTGTGATCCAGTCTTAGTCTGCAACACTCCTCTCTCAAACAGGTGACCTCAGAGGGGACCTGTGATGCTTTCTTTGTGACTTGGTTTTCTGCTGCAGATACCATTTCATGGGACATGACCATTGCCAATGGGATGTGTGAGAAAATCCTGAGTCTGGATGCTATGGATACCCAATTTTATGCTCCTTTTCACAGAGAAAGATCCAGAGAACAAGATTATGGTAAAAATATACCTCTGTCCATAACAAGCATCTGTGGAAATTTTAGTTGGGTATTTCCAGCACGAGGTCAACAAGATGTCATGAGTCATAAAATGTGGTAAGCAAACTCAGCATTTCCTTTGTTTTGTGGGATTCTTCACTGATGTGGTTCTGAAAGTGTTGTACATGGGTAGCACCTCATTTCCCAAGTAGGAGAGAGAGGAATGGGAACATGGAGGGTGGATGGGTTTGCAGGGGTAACTTGGAGCAGGATGAGAAAATCAGCCATAAGAATAGGCAAATGCTTCAGTGATGAGCCAAGATTTTCCTCAAACTGAACCAGACAGGAATCTATCAGGGAAAAGCAGAAACTTGCATGTAGCCAGCTCAGCCCTCACCTCAGCCAGCTCAGACCTCACCTCAGGCAGCTCTTGGACAATGAAGGCACTTCCCTAGAACACAACCTTCTCACCAGGGGCTGACTGCCAGGACTCAGCCCTCAGTGAAGGATATTTTCTGGGGCAGAGAAGGCAGCTGATGAGGTTAGGGAAGTGCTGGGCACCAGTACCCACAGCCCAGCTATGGGTCTAAGGAGAAGTTATTTTCATTCTTGAGAAACAAAAGCAAAAGCATCTGCTGTCACAAGTGAGGAAATCAGCCCAGCAAAACTGGTTTACAAGAGATGAATTTGAAATCCAGACTGGCTGATAAGAGGCAGATCCCATAACAATGAAATTTTGGAAGGCTTTTGAAGTGCTTGTGCCAGTTTAACCTCTGGGGTTAGACCACACCTGGTCACCCTCATTGGAACTCTTGGTTGCCTTGGTAAAAAAAGTCAGATTCACAGGCTGTTGTGCAAGAGCAAATTCCACCATCATAATTTGGGTGTGGGGAACCCTAAATCAGAAACCCATCAACCTCAAGGTGGGGGTACTGAATACAAAGAGATGGATTTGATCCAACTGTCCCATGGGAACCCTTGGGGACACCACTGGCTCAGGATGGAGCCAATCTGGAGCAGTCTGATCCAGCATTGATGGTAGATCTGCTGCAAGGACCTCAATGATCTTAGAGGTCTTTTCCAGCCTAAATGATTCTATGGTCCTAAAAAAATACATTTCTGGTTACAGAGATTGGTGCAGAGGTTTCACCTCTGAGAAAGGTGGGGAGAAGGAGTCAGTGTGAGTCAAGTCCAGCCTCAAATGTTAAAAGGCAAATCTTTAAGCAACCAGGGGTATTGTGAAAAAAATGTGCAGAGTTATTCAAAATAATACCAAAATGCAGGTCAACGTGGGCAAAGCTGGAGCAATAAGAAGATTGAAAACGCCAGGTTTAGCACTCAGTTTCTATGTGCTGGTTCTCGTTTTTCAGTCAGTTGCAGATCAAAATCATACAAATCAGCACAAAATGAAATGGTTGATACTTTTATGGGTTTTTAAACAACTGTTTCTTATAAATACAGAGCTGTTATCATCAGCCCCAACAGGGTATCCTGAGAGTCTGTATTACAGGAAACACATTGCTGAGAACATGACCCTCTCTTTGCATACCACTCTTGCACTTGCTCCTGAGTATTACAATCATGGAATCACAGAAGGGTTTGGATTGGAAGAGAACTTCAAGATCATCTCATTCCAATCCCCTGCCATGGGCAGGGACACCTTTGACAAGATGAGGTTTCTCCAAGTCCCATGCAGCCTGTCCTTGGACAGTTCCAGGGATGGGGCAGCCACAGCTTCTCTGGGTAACCTGTGCCAGGCCCTCACCACTTTCACAGGGAAAAAGTTCTTCCCAATATCCCACCTGAGCCTGTCCTTTGGCAGTGGGAAGCCATTCCCCCTTGTCTTGTGCCTCCAGGCCCTTGTCCAACATCCCTTTCCAGCTCTCTTGGAGCCCCTTTAGGCACTGGAAGGAACTCTAAGGTCTTCCTGGAGCCTTTTCTTTTCCAGACTCATCACTCCCAACTCCCTCAGACTGTCTCCAGAGCAGAGGTGTTCCAGCCCTCCATCCATTCCCTGTGGGTGCATTATTTAGTGGCACAGACTTGTCATTAAAGTCCATGCAATTATTTGATATCAACCTTTCAAAACATTGTTTTTCTGCAGGATTAGAGCAGGGAATGCCCCTCTTTATTGTAACCTAGGGCAACTGCTCAGCTAGATTATTCTATTACAGAGCTCTTCTCTCCTAAAGCTCACAGGTGCCCTGCAGCTACTTGGGCACTATCTGTTAGTGCTTTTACCATGAAGTCTTCTGCTAATTTGAGATTCTTTCTCTGTGTGAACTTTGGTTTTTACTCTTGGAAATCACTCAAACATTCAGAAAACAGAGGAACAGACTTAAAGGGATTATTTACTCTCAAACTACTCCTTCATTCTCCAAATTATTTTCATTTAGTATCTATTCAGGCAGCTCATTTTTAAAAGGCTGCATGTTTTTTATACTCAGTCATCCATACAAAGTAACCTGGAGAAACAACCCATCCCAACGATAAGCAAGTAATATTTACTAAGGGCAGGTAAAAACTCACAACTTTTATTGGTTTGTCTGCCAGAGACTGACTGTGCCATAGAAGACAAATTTCAGTGTATTACAAACACTGCAATTCATATTTTTCGATTTCAATTTTGCAATTAGTTGTAATAAAGTTAGATGGTTTTACTGATAAGCTTTGAGTAAGAAATAACATGCAAGTATGGAAAATTTCTTTGTCTACTTTCTGCCTGGTGATGTTCAAGGGTAAAACACACAAGGTATAAAAACTCCAGACATTTTGTTGCCTGACTATGTTCTTTGAAGAAACCTCATTGTGAAAGTCCCATCTTCCCAACCCCAAAGCTGACGGGCTTTCAGGAACTGACACCAGCAATAAAACACAAAGCAATCAAGTTTTACTTTCGAAAAGCCCCAACTATTTGTAGCACATATATTTCACTCCATCCTACCCAGAGCACTGCAAAGATGTCGCACGGAGAAGGAAAAGATCCAGGCCACCAGGTCTCGTTCTCCACCGTGCTGAGATGGGGAAGAGGCTGGGGAAGAGGCTTTCCTGGAACCAGGGGTGCTTTTTGGCAGTTTTTTTTTTAAGGAGAAGCAGAAGAGTGTCAACACCCCTGGCACAGGAAGGAGGTTGCCTGCGCTAGACCGCGCTCAGCGGCTGCGCGCAGGAAGTGGCGCAACTCTTCCCCGTACGCAGCGGCTGCCGAGACTGCAGCACCCTGGTTTTGGTTGGGGATTGACATGAGCCCCATGAGGCAGATGTATGGCATCCTTCCCTCAAAGCAGAAAACCTCTTTAACTTTGCTGTGAGCCACTCCAGCCAGCAAGAGTTTCGCTGGCAAAGCACAATGGTGTGCGCTGAACTTGCGAACACAGGCAAAATTCTTTATGAGAAATGTCAGGCTTGGTCTCCCTTTGTCTTGTCTCTCTGCTGTTATGAAAAACACCCCACCAGCTGCAGGATGGGAGCCAGGGTTTCCTGAGCTCTGACCCCAGCTTTCACAGGTATTTGCCGGGGGGCCATTGCAAACTTCTAAATCCCCTTCCTCGGCCTCCCTACCTCAATATGATCAATGTAAAACACTTGGGAGCTTGTGAGTGTCCCAAATGGAACAGCAGATTATCCTGGAAAGGGCACTTAGTTCACCACCAACCTCCAGAAAGGTTCAATCCAGAATACACCAATCCTGGCAGCTGCCCGTCCCTTCACCTCACAAAAAATTATTTATTGTAGACTGCACCACATGCCTGGGCAGCACATCCCTACCTGCATTACCTAACTGCATTGGCGGCCCTTACTGCTGGATTTTTATTTTATTCCTATTGTAAATCCTAGACATGTTAGTTACTGACATTGCTGGAAGGTTGATTTAACATTCTGTCCATCAGCACATCAAGGATGTGGAGGTCAGCATTATTATAAAATTATTTAGGTTGGAAAAGCCTTCTTAGATCACCGAGTCCAAATGCCCACCCAGCACTGCCAAGGCCACCACTAAACCACATCCCCAGATGCCACATCTACACATCTTTCGAATCCTTCGAGGCATGGTGACTCCACCACTGCCTTGGACAGCCTGTCCAACACTTGACAACCCTTTCAGTGAATAATTTTTTTGCTAATATCCAATCTAAACATCCCCAGGCAAAATTTGAGGCCATTTCCTGCACTACAGTTGGTGATTCAGGACAGCTTTCAGTAATGGAAAAGATTTTTTTACACTAGTCAGGCTAAAGAGGAAATAACCTACAATTTTACCCTTTATTTCAGGTCATAAAATGTGCTCTTTCCCTTAGTCAATAGTTCTTTGACTAACTATCATTTTTCTTCTTTAAAGGTGTTTTGGAAGAGTTTTGAAAATCAGATTTGCAAATGTCTATAGATGAACACATATGCCTGTCCTCTTGACTCCTTCCTAACATAAAATAAATTATAAGAACTCAAGGTCAGAATTCTCTAAAGTGAAGGAAGAAAGCATCACTACAGGTCAGATAAATCTCAGACTTGTCACTGACCTCAGCTTCAGGATAGCATAAATTAGAAACCAGGTCAGCTTCAAAGAGATGAGCCTCCTTATGTTGAGCTCACTGGGACTAAATGAGAAAGGCCAAATACAGCTCACACCTGATCTGGGGCAGTGGAAAATCCCTTTTTAGGTGCTCTGACCTAAATGACCAGGAGGAACTCTGAATGTTCTGCTCAGCGCACAGGGTGGTTACTGATGGGGACATCTACAAAGCAGAGAGTACCCAGGAGCAGGAGATGCCTTCACCTCGCCTGTCTCAGGCTCCTCTGCAATGCTTAAAAACAGCTGCTAGAAATTGATTTGGGGAATTTGAGCAGGGTAAGAAAATGTTTTCACATGAAGAAAGAGGGGAAGTCATGTTTGTATTTAAAAATAAAGGGTTGGAAGGAAAAGATAGATCCCATAACCTACAAACCTGGGAGGATGAGCTTCATTTAATTCCAGAACAACTGCTGAGGCCACCTTTCTGCAAGCACATGTAAAGTAGCATGAGAGAGAGGGTTTGTGAAGACCAAATTTCTCAGACCAGTCTGATTTCCTCTTGTGAGCTGGTAGCAGACCTTGTGGGTAAAGGAGAGACAGATGATTTCATATTGCTTCTTTTTATAAAGACTTTGGATCACATCTCCCATGGCAATGTTTGAGAGACCAGAGGCTGACACAATGTGTTGGGATATGTGTGGGAAGTGATGGGAATTGCTCCCAGAGCACTGTGGCCTTTAATGCTCCACACCAGAGTGGAAGAACGTGTTTCCACACAGTCTCTCAAGGTTCTGTTCAATGGCTTCTCTGGTAGTTCAGCTGATGGAGGAAACCATATCCCTGTTAAATTCACATTCTCTTCCAAGCAGGAAAGGAGTTCAAGGACATGGGGGAGAGGGATTAATATTTAACAGGATTAAAACAAGTTAGAGAGATATGCCAGGTGGAAAAATAGCAGCTTGAAATTCATGATGATACCATTGCAGCCATCCATTTTCTGCAGATACTTCTAAAAATTGTCCTCAAAGCACCACCAGCAGCACCAAGTGCCATTTCACAGAGAGGAGGAGGAGGAGGAGGAGGAGGAGTTGATGATCAACGGCAACTCAGCTCTCCAGAGCAGATACTGGCCATGGATGGGAAGTGGAGGGAAGTTTTCTATTCTTTGTTTTCTGCGCTGCAAGCAGCTTTGGCCATGAAAGGGAAACTTGGTGACCGGGAGCATGTGGGGTCACCAGCAGAGATGCTTACCAGGCAAAAGTGAAAAGCAGAAGTTGAGAAGGTCAGATTTCTTAAACTTGAGTTCAAAAGATGCCTGGGTGCAGCCAGGGGCCAGGAGCAGGATGGTGCCTCAGCCAAGTGTTCTCCAGTAGTTCACTGTGCATTATTCCCAGTCACTTCCTACAAGGTAGAGCCCTACTTGGTATGGGGTGAGATCGGGAGGGGGCTTTGCCAGGGTGCTCCAAATCCCTAATCCCTCTTGGGAACAATCTCAGTGTGACCCTGTCCCTTTGGGGAAATGCCACCAAAGGGACAGAGCAGCAATTTTATGTGGGCAATGTTGGGTGGATAAAGCCCTGTGGGACCAGATAAAAAGCCATAATTCCAGGAGATGGGAAATGAACTGGCAGGCAAGCATTAGCCCCTGCAGCCCCTTTGTATGCCAAGTGCTGTTTTCCATCATTCCCTGCTGTCAGGTTTCTCCTGCAGCAGTGCCACACTTACAACACTCCCCAGTCAGGCCCACTGGCCAGCCCCAAAGAGACTTCTCCCCTCCAAACAGCTTTCTGGCCAGAATTTCACTTCCTTTCATGAGACCTGGCAGAGAAGGGCTGGCTGAATGCCTGCCTTCAAGTTTTGCTCCAGTGTGCTCAGCACTGCATCTCCAGAGTAGTGTCCAGAGGTACCAGGGGATGACTGGAGACCCTGGGGCCAGGGCAGGATCTGGGGCTGGTTGTCCATGATCACTCATGTCCATATCCTGAGTCTACAGCTTTTTGTCTGGCTACACCGTGTGGGCTTAAATATAAAAACAACTCTAACTGCAGCTACCAAAACAAATCAGCACTTGTGCATGGAAGAGCTTCAACTGCAGCTCTTCACCTGGAAAATGACCCATTGGACTAATTTCCTTGCTCTTTCCCTCATGTGAAAATGATGTTGGAGCAGACTCGCTGTCCCAGTGGAGCTACTTTGCACCATGTCCATCAGCACAGTCCTGGTAGAATTTTCTCATTTTCTTACAGAATCACAGAATCTTTAATGATGTAAGTGAGGTTTTGAGATCAACCCTGCCCTGTTACACAGAGCACATCCAGGTGAGGCTGGAATGTCTCTGGAGAGGAAGACTCCACACCCTCCCTGGGCAGCCTTTTCCAGTGCAACTCCTTTATTCACTGTAAAGGAGTTCTTCTTTATGTTGAGATGGAATTTCTTGTGATTTAGTTTATGGCCATTGCTCCTTGTCCTGTCACTGGGCACCACTGAGAAGAGTCTAGCACCATCCCCTTGACACCCACCTTTATATTTTTGGGTATTGGTGACATCTTAGGCTTGCAAGGTCCTCCTGATCCACTCTGGGTAACAGGAGACAAGGATAGGAGGAGAACCCAGATGTCCTGACAAAGAGCAGAGGATTTAAAAAAACCAAAATCATTACTGAATCCAGCTCTTACAGCTGCCTGTGAAACTGATATCATTCACATTTCATTGCTTGGATTAAAGTGTGTTCCCTTCAAGTCAGAGCTACTGCTGCAGGCTGGGGTCCCAGCAATGAAACAAAACAGTGGAACTGAACATGTGAAGGCAGCTACTTAATTCTGCTGCTAATGGCAGCCCAGAAACCTTGGTGAAAAAGAAGAAAACAGCCAACAAAACAAGTTACTGCATCAGATGAGTGGAAAACCTCAGATGAGTGGAAAACCCAGCGAGTCAATGTCAGGAGTGAATCTGTGTCCTTTAAACTCACAGAATGGTTCTAATACTTGAGGTAATGTCATAAAGCCAGCTCCAGAGGCACCATAAAAATGGAGAAAATGTGCCAGGGTACAGCTTGTGGGTGCATTTGTGTTCCACCCAAATGCTGAGCTCTGTCTCTAGGCTGAACTCAACCCAATGGAAAAGTTTTCTCTACCAACTCTGCTGGCCTGTCCCATGGTCCATAGCCTTGCAAGGAACAGGTGACCAGTGACACAGCCAGTGTACAAGCTGGTCTCTCTAGCTTTTGGGGTCAAGTACAGGTTGATTTAACCTTTACTGGGAGGTTCAGCTACAGGGGAACACAAAGCCATCAGTGGTGCTAGAAGTATCCATAGTCATGGCATTCCATGGCATTGATTTCCATTTGTGGGACTTTGAGATCTGGTAGGAACCTTAAGAACTGATTTGCTCTCTCTAGGCCTTGATTTACACTTCAAGTGTTTGGTTTGGCTGGTGACTGGGGCCACTTAAGCAGCCTGAAGCAGCCCTTGCCACGTGCCCATCTGTCCAGGAGTTCGTCAGCTCCACAGGGCACCACAGAACCAGTTTTCAACCAGCAAATCTGAAAGAAAGAAATAATAATTAGAAAAATAATAGAGCAGCTGCACTTGGTTTTTCTCTGCAAGAAGTTCTCTGATGGGGAGAAAACTTCCTTTGAAAAACAAGGCATTGGTTAGCACTTCTTGTTCTTTGC